TGGGACGAGCCGAGAGCAGCCCCAGGTGGACACCGGCTTCTCCCAGGAGCCCTGCGGAGAGGATGGATTCATGGAGCACTGGAATTGCCCCCGCGGGGCTCAGGGAGCCCGCTAAGGGGGGGGGATGTCTCATCTCACCTCCACCAGCCAGACGCCGACGCCTCCCACAGCCTTTTGGGGACCCGCAGCACGAACAGTCGAATCCAGTGAATCCAGCATCCAGGGAATGCCAGGCAGATGCCTCCCGGTCGCTGGAACGGGCTTTTCCAGAGAGGCTTTCAGCCCCTGGAGCCACAGCCCGCAGGTGACAGCGGAGGGAGACCTGCCGGGGCAAACATCCTCGTGGATTCTCCACCAGGCTCTGGAGGGGTCACCCCGTGCCCCCAGCTCCCCCCTCTGGCACGGACCTGGCTGCCGGAGAGGTTTGGGAGGAGGAGAGTGTCCAGCTGGAAGCGGAGGGAGTGGTTTCCACGCCGCGGGAGGAAGCGGGAGCAGCCGAGCCACCCATCCAGGAGGTATCTGCCAGGTGGGACACGGGGCGAGCTGGGCACTGCTACCCCCCTCCAGAGGGTCGTCCCCCACCCCATTCCAGCCGCGGAGCTCTCCCGTTGTCAGCAATGACACGGAATTCCGGCCGTTTGGAAACGCCTGGAGCGGCCACGCGCTGGTCCACGAACACCCTCAGGGGCTCCCGGGGGTCGGTGCCCACGGACGCCTGGACGTTGATCAGCTGACCCAGGAAATAGGAGGGGTGGAACAGGCGGGAGGACCAGGAACCTGGAAGGGGGTGCCCCGAGGGTCACAGGGGGTCCCGCCCTGCGGGGTGAGGGGGTCCAGGGCTCCTCCACTCACGGTCAAACACGGCCAGGGCGAAGCGCGGCCGTCTCCGGTGGGCAACGGTGGAGCCGAAGGGGATCCGGGTGGGATGGATGGGCATGGACGAAATGATGCCCGTCCTGTGCCACAGAGGGTGCTTGAGTGAGGGTATGGAGGGCACCCCTGCACCCCATCCTGATACAGACAACCCCACACCCTCCCTCCCAAATCCCTCCCAGATGGATCCCACGGCGGGCTCACGTGGGACTCAGAGCCCTGGCTCCCAAGGGTCTCCGCTGGGGAATCCTGGGCTCCAGGGGGGGTTCTCCCCACTCACCTGGGGTAGTTACACTCCACAGGGAGGGAGAAGGGTCTGGCACGAGCCACAGGCCCCCTGGACAAGGGGTGGAAGTGGAGGATGTTCTCATAGCGGATTCTGTCCGGGAGGAGCTGTGGGAAGGAGTGGGTTTGGGGCTGGATTTGGGGCTGGGGGTTTCCCCCTCACCCTGGCCCCCAGGAATGCCCAGGCCAGGGTTCAGATGACCCCTCACTCAGCAGTGCTCTCAGAATGGCTGGGATGGGGGTTTGGGGGGACCCTCCACACTGGTCCCACCTGGTTTCCTTCCCCCCCACCAAGCCCTGGCAGGGTCCCCTCATTCCCACCCCATGTCCATTTCCATCAGGGACATGTGTCCCCGTTTCTCACCTGTCAGCTCTGGTGACTCCACATCCAGGGCCTAGGATCAGCTCCCCAGCGGCCACACAGCTCCCCAGGACATGGAGCGGGACCGTCACCGAGAGCCACGAGGGGCCACACGTGACAGAGACTGGCAGGTGAGCAGGAGGAGGAGCGAGACAGGGATTTGGGAACACCAGGATGCACCAGGATGAGCTTGAGGCTCAGCTGGACCTCAAATCCCTGCAGTGATCCTTTAGGGAGTGGCCCCAGGCACCGAGGCCGTGGTCCTCCTCACCATGCCCAGGGCAGGGGGACCCACCCTGTCCCTGTCCCTGTCCCCAGACACCCCAGACACCCCCTTTTCCAGGCCATGCTGAGCCCAGGCCGTGGCTGCAAGGAAGAGCACAAACCACCCTTGGGAGCATCCACTGGGATAATGGAGATGGAGGGATGACCCCCACTGGTGGCTTTTTTTAACCCCCGTGGAAGAGGTGGTGGCCACGGGTCTCCAGGGGGAAGCTGGGTATTCCCACACTCCCTGCACACATATGGGGCTCGTTTCCAGACCTTCCTCCTTCCAGGGAAAACCTAGGGGCTTGGGCACTTGTCCTCAATCCAGCCCTGCTCCTGGTCCCCACCCCTGTCCCTGTTCCAGCCCTGTCCCAGTGGAAAGCATGGATTGTCCCCTGGGACACCGCATAGTCCTTGAGGAGGGAAACCAAACCACAGCATTCCCACCCTGAATCCAAACCCAGCTGCTGGGAAGGAAGGAACCCTATCCCAATAACACCAGCGCAGTGGGAACACTCAGGCAGCTCTTTGGGGAAAACCCTTATTTATTTCAAACACAGGATCTGCAGGAGTATCTGAACTGCCAAGAGAAACTTCCTCCTGAAATTTGACAGCCAGCTTGGGAAAGCTCCCTGGAGATGGGGGAATTCCAGATCCCTTTGCTGCTGGAGGATCTTCTCCGACACTGAGCCCGGGCTGTTCCCGGTTGGCACCACTGCAGCGTCCCGGGATCCTTGGACTGGGCACTGGTGGCTCCAGGACTCTTCCTGCTGTGCCACTTCTTCCTGGGAACTCTTCACTGGAGTGGGCTGGGCTCCCAGTTTGACTTCCAGGTTCTTCCTGGCCACGTGCATCCTCAGGGACGAGCGTGTTCTGCTGATTCCCACTGCTCCGAGGGAGCAGGGAGAGCTGTCCACGGCGTCTTCTCCGTCTGGAGCCCGCCAGGAATCACTCAGGCTCTTGGAGAGGGAGAGGCTTTCGGAAGGAGTGAGGCTGCCAGAGGAATGGAGGCTCTCCGAGGGCAGGGGTGACCCTTCCTGCCGTTCCACCCGCTCCTGGGAATACGTGAGGCTTCCGGAGGAACGGAGGCTCTTGGGGGGCTGGGATGACCCTTCCTGCCGCTCCACCCGCTCCTGGGAGCGCACCACTGGGATGGGCCAGGCTCCCATTTTGACTTCCAGGCTTTTCCTGGCCACGTGCACCCTCAGGGATGAGCTGGCCTTGCTCATTCCCGCGTCTCCCAGGGAGTAGGGAGAGCTGTCCACGGGGCCTTTCCTGTCTGGAATCCAGCAGGAATCACCGAAGCAGCAGTACAGGTGGCCTCGCTCCACCAGCTTCTCCAGGTCCTCCCACAGCACCTGCCACGCCAGGGAAACCCTTGGGAAGGACCTCCCGTTCCCAGCACACACGGACGCCAGCAGGTCCTGCAGCTCCTGGGCCGCCGTGGCACAGGGGGAGCAGCCGGGGCCGCATCCACACAGCATGGAACCCACGGGAGCCTCCGGAACAGCGGGAGCCATGGGGGAACTGGGAGCAGCTGGAGCCACTCGGCTGCTCCGGGAGCCCGGCAGGACGCCACTCATGACTCCCCCCATCCCGTTGGGATCACAGATATCTCATATCCCTGGGAGCTGGGTGGGGGTGGCTCCCAGTGTTGCCCGGCGACGGCACGCTGATGTCACAGCCCTGCTTGTGATGTCACAGCCCCAGGTCACCCCAGG